GTTAAATGCTTTTAAGCATCTATTGAGAGGATCATATGGTTATTGTTCTTTCTTTTATTAATGTATTCTATCACATTGATTTGCAGATATTGAACCAACCTTAAAGCCCAGGAATAAATCCCACTTAGTTGTGGTGAATAATCCTTTTAGTGTACTGTTGGATACTATTGGCTAGTATTTTGGTGAGAATTTTTGCATGTGTGTTCATCAGGGGTATTGGTCTGTAATTCTCCTTTTTGATGGGGTCTTTGTATGGTTTTGGGATCAAGGTAAAGCCTCATAAAGTGAGTTTGGAAGTTTTCCTTCCATTTCTACTTTTTGGAACAGTTTCAGGAGAATAGGTATTAATTTTTCTTTAAATGTTTGGTAGAATTCCCCTGGGACGTCATCTGGCCCTGGGCTCTTGTTGGGAGATTTTTGATGACTCCTTCAATCTCCTTACTGGTTATGGATCTGTTCAGGTTTTCTATTTCTTCCTGGTTCGGTTTTGGTAGTTTATATGCTTCTAGGAATGCATCCATTTCTTTCAGATTGTCACATTTGCTGGTGTATAGTTGGTCGTAATAATTGTTTGTATTTCTTTGGTGTTGGTTGTGATCTCTCCTCTTTCATTCATGATTTTGTTAATTTGGGTCCTTTCTTTTTTCTTTTGGGTAAATCTGGCCAGGGGTTTATCAATCTTATTAATTTTTCAAAGAACCAACTCCTAGTTTCATTGATATGTTCTACTGTTCTTTTGGTTTCTATTTCATTGGTTTCTGCTCTGATCTTTATTATTTCTCTTCTCCTGCTGGGTTTAGGCTTTCTTTGCTGTTCTTTCTCTAGCTCCTTTAGGTGTAGTGTTAGGTTGTATACTTGAGACCTTTCTTGTTTCTTGAGAAAAGTTTGTATTGCTGTATACTTTCCTCTCAGGACCACCTTTGTTGTGTACCACAGATTTTGAACAGTTGTATTTTCATTTTCATTTGTTTCTGTGAATTTTTTCAATTCTTCTTTAATTTCCTGGTTGACCCATTCATTCTTTAGTAGGGTGCTCTTTAGCCTCCTTGTATATGAGTTCTTTCCAGCTTTCTTCATGTGGTTGAGTTCTAGTTTCAAAGCACTGTGGTCCAAAAATATGCAGAGAATGATCCCAGTCTTTTGATACCAGTTGAGACTTGATTTGTGACTCAGGATATGATTTACTCTGGAGAATGTTCCATGGGCACTAGAGAAGAATATGTATTCTGTTGCTTTGGGATGGAATGTTCTGAATATATCTGTGATGTCCATCTGGTCCATTGTGTCATTTAAAGCCTTTATTTCCTTGCTGATCTTTTGCTTAGATTATCTGGCCATTTCAGTAAGGGGGCTGTTAAAGTCCCCTACTATTATCATATTATCGTCAATGTGTTTCTTTGATTTTGTTATTAATTGGCTTATATAATTGGTTGATCCCATGTTAGGGGCATAGATATTTAAAATTGTTAGATCTTCTTGTTGGATAGACCTTTTAAGATTGATATAATGTCCTTCCTCATCTATTATTGTGGTCTTTGGCTTAAAATTTAATTTATCTGATAAAAGGATCGCCACCCCAGCTTTCATTTGGTGTCCATTAGCATGGTAAATTGTTTTCCACCTCCTCACTTTAAATCTGGAGGTGTCTTTGGGTCTAAAATGAGTTTCTTGCAGACAGCATATCAGTGGGTCTTGTTTTTTTTTTTTAATCCATTTTGATATCCTGTGTCTTTTGACTAGAGGCATTTAGCACATTTACATTCAAGGTAACTATCAAAAGATATGAATTTAGTGTCATTGTATTGTCTATAAGGTGACTATTACTGTATATTGTCTCTGTTCCTTTCTGTTCTATTACTTTTAGGCTCTCTCTTTGTTTAGAGGATGCCTTTCAATATTTCCTGTAGGACTGGTTTGGTGTTTGCAAATTCTTTTAGTTTTTGTTTGACCTGGGAGTTTGTTATCTCTCCGTTTATTTTCAGTGATAGTCTAGCTGGATATAGTATTCTTGGCTGCATATTTTTCTCATTTTGTGCTCTGAATGTATCATGCCAGTCCTTTCTGGCCTGCCAGGTCTCTGTGGATAGGTCTGCTCCCAATCTAAAATTTCTACCATTGTGTGTTACAGACTTCTTGTTCTGAGCTACTTTCAGGATTTTCTCTTTGTCACTGAGACTTGTGAGTTTAACTATTAGATGACAAGGTGTTGACCTATTTTTATTGAATTTGAGAGGGTTTCTGTGTGTCTCCTGGATTTTGATGCTTGTTCCCTTAGCCAAATGAGTGAAATTCTGCACAGTAATTTGCTCTAATATATCTTCTGCCCCTCTCTCTCTTTTTCTTCTTCTTCTGGGATCCCAGTTATTCTAATATTGTATTACTTATCTCTCGAGCTCTCCCCTCATGGTCAAGTAGTTGTTTGTCTCTCTTTTTCTCAGCTTCTTTATTCTCCATCATTTGGTCTTCTGTATCACTAATTGTCTCTTCTGCCTCATTTATCCTAGCAGTTAAGAGCCTCCATTTTTTATTGCACCTCATTAATAGCTTTTTAGATTTCAACTTGGTTAGGTTTTAGTTCTTTTATTTGTCCAGAAAGGGTTTTTTTCTTCCCCCCTCTGGAAAGGGATTCTCTAGTATCTGCTATGCTTTTTTCAAGCCCAGCTAGCATCTTGATAATCGTCATTCTGAACTCTGGTTCTAACATATTACTAATGTCCGTATTGATTAGGTTCCTAGCCGTCAGTACTGCCTCTTGTTCTTTGCTTTTGAGGTGAGTTTTCCTGCCTTGTCATTTTACCCAGATAAGAATAGATGAAGGAGAGAAAAAATACTAAAAGGGTAGCAAGGACCCCAGAAAAATATACTCTAAGCAAATCAGAAGAGACCTGAAATTGGGGAGAAAAGAAAGGAGAAAGAAGGAGAAAAATACACACACACACATACATATATATGCTTATATATATATGTACACATACATATATATGCTTATATATATGTATATATATGATTTAGAACAGAGCCACACACTTGATTTTGGGTGTATTTTGGTCTGTTAGAAGAAACTACCTTCCCAAATTTTAAAGAAAGAAAAACATATATAGAAAGAAAACATATAAAGAATGAAAAACATATGTATACAAAAATAAACATGATGAAGGAATGGAATATGACTGTAAAGATGGAAATGAAAAAAGATTCTAAAAAAGAATTGATAAGACAAGAAGTTGGTTGAATAAAGAAAAAAAGAAAGAAAGAAAGAAGAGAATGTGATTGGCCTGGAGACTAGAACAAACCCATACATTAGATTTAGGGTATATTTTGATCTGTTAGAAGAAACTGTATACCAAAATTTTAAAGAAAGTAAAATTTACCATGTATACAAAAAATAAGGTTAAATACAATAGAGGGACAGAGTATTATTATAAAAATGAAAATTAAGGGGCGCCTGGGTAGCTCAGTGGGTTAAAGCCTCTGCCTTCGGCTCAGGTTATGATCCCAGGGTCCTGGGATCGAGCCCCGTATCAGGCTCTCTGCTCAGCAGGGGGCCTGCTTCCTCCTCTCTCTCTGCCTGCTTCTCTGCCTACTTGTGATCTCTGTCTGTCAAATAATAATAAAATCTTTAAAAAAAAAAAAGAAAAGAAAAGAAAGATTTTTAAAATGGTATTGATAAGATAAAATAGGTTAAAAAGGTTAAAATAGGAAAGAGGAAAAATTAACAAAAATAGAGTAAGAAAAAAATAAAATTTAAGAAATTTAACTTTGAAAGACTAAAGAATCATGGAGGAAAAGCCATGAATTCTATGTGCTATGTTCCCCTATGTCTGGAGTTCCGCTGTTCTCATTAATCTTGAACTTGGTCTTCACTGGATATTCTTGTTGATCTTCTGGGGGAGGGGCCTGTTGCAGTGATTCGCAGATGTGTTTGTCCTCAGTGGAACTTCACCGCCCTTGCCAGGGGCCAGGCTAAGTAATCTGTGTGGGTTTGCCTCTGTAGCTTTTGTTTCCTGAATTCTTTGCATACAACTTTAGAGGACGGGAATGAGGATAGCGGCCTCAAATTTCTAGCCCATAGGAGCCAAGAGTTCAGAGCCCTACTCCTCACTGCACCCGCAGAGAAAAACAGTCAATCACTCTTGTCTCCCTGGTCTCCGGTTGCACTCTGTGCTCTCCCATCCTGTGACCAAGTGTTTCTGTCTCTGGCACACAACCCTGTTTGGAGTCTCCAAACCCAGCAGATTCCTACAGCGTGCTCCCGCACTGCTCCTCCCAGAGAGGGAAGGAAGGAGTCTCCTCAGATCTGCCATTTGTGGGGTCACTGCTTGAAGAGCAGTGGCCCAACGATGCCAGAAATCATGGTTTATGGCAACCCTGAGGTGAGAGCCCACTCCTCGGTTCTGTCTCTGCAGCCAGCTTCCCTACTGTAATACTGGGGGCTCTGCCACTTTCAGGTACCCCCAGTCTTTCTGTGACCCTGAGGGTCCTGAGACCACACTGTCCCCATGAGGGCCCCCCCTGCCGCCACCGGAGCAACATCCCTCAGTGGAGTAGACTTCTAAAAGTTCTGATTTTGTGCTGTGCTTCTCTACCGCTTGCTGGGAGCCGGCCCCTCCCCCCATGGACTATTTTCCTGTATGTTGCCTCGGATTCACTTCTCTGCACATCCTACTTTCCAGAAAGTGGTCGCTTTTCTGTTCTTAGAATTGCTGCTATTCTTTTCTTTGATCTCCTATTGAGTTTTAGGTGTTCAGAATGGTTTGATAACTATCTAGATGATTCCTGGGACCCGATGAAATTTAGATCTCCTACTCCTCCACCATCTTCAGGATGGGAGCTTCTTGAGCACAGAGCTATTGGCTCTTTCACTGCTGAATTCTCAGGTATCTGGAACATGATAGCTGTGCAGTAAAGACTTGCTAAGTGAATAAGAACATGTTCTTGCTCTTGTTTCTGACATATTTTTCACCTCTTCTTCCACCTTTCTTCCTTACTTTCTTTTTAAGGATGAGCTTTGGAGGATCCAGGAGAAGCTAGAATGCTACTTTGGCTCCTTGGTTGGCTCGAATGTGTATATAACCCCTGCAGGATCCCAGGGCCTCCCACCCCATTATGATGATGTGGAGGTAAGAGGAAGAAAATTGTTCTGCTCAGGGAAGGAGTCATTGCGAGTGACTGAGTTAGATGTTGGGATTCAGTTCAGCTCCCTGTCCTTCTTGCTGTGTGGTCCCAGAGATCTTAACCTCACCTAGATGTTGGGTCAGATCAATTCACCAAACTGGTTTCCTGCTCCTTCTCAAAGGGGAGAGGTGGTTCCTAGGTTTACTAATATAAAGAGCTACACACTCCTATGAACAGGTATTTATTGAGTCTGTCTATAGAAAAGCGTGATTGGCTTTTTCTCTAATTTCACAATGTAAGGGTTTAGTAAAGTGAGGTCACAAGTAATCCTTACATCTGCTTTCATTTTGTCCTTTTTCTGGAGCTGCCAAAAATAGATAATTTTTTCCATTTGTGAAATTCTCGGGGCAGCTTGAACGAAGGTCATGGTTTCACTTAAGGTCTGGCCCCTTGACAAGTGTTGGTTCACTGTCATGTGGCTGCCAAACAAGTTAACTCTTTGGCCTAGGGAGTCTGTTGCTTTCCTTTTTTGCTAAGACAGGTTATGAACACAGAGTTATTAGTAAAAAGCTCCTTTTCGCCCCTTTGAAAGCACTTTCATACCAATACATTGCCTAAAAGTTTTTGGTTTTGTTGTTAATATTTTAAGCAGAACTTTGAGATACCTTTGGCTGAATGAAGAATAAAAAACTTGAAGAGTTCCTGTCTGCCAAAGATGATATTCAGGATTTTAGACCCTGAGGAATATATGAAGCTTGGCTTTTCCATCAGAGATTATGGGCTTTCAGCTGTCTGATGGAAGATTTAAAGGCAGGAGATGAGGGGATATAAAGAACCCAGTGAGGCTTTATTACAGTGAAGAGAATGAATATCCTTCCAGTATCGGGGCTCATGATTACCTGTTTTTAAAAGTGGAAACTGGCGGTGGCAACTTTTAAGTGTAGAGTGAAATGCCTCACTAATCTCTCATTTTTATTTTTTATCTGAAACTTGTAATCCATCTGCGCCTTTGGAGGGCTAATCCTCTAGCACCGCTCTGCCACGTGAGTTGTCAGGAAGCTCACTGAAACTCCTGGGCCCTGTGGCTCTCTGTAGGTCTTCATCCTGCAGCTGGAAGGAGAGAAACACTGGCGTCTCTACCATCCGACTGTGCCCCTGGCCCGGGAGTACAGCGTGGAGTCCGAGGACAAGATTGGGAGGCCGACCCACGAGTTCACGTTGAAGGTACAGGACTTCCGTCCTGGCTGCTGCTCCTGACACAGGTTTCAGTTTGGGTTTTAGTGTGTGTTCAGTGGTCCCTGTGAGAATATATGCAAGAGTGTGGGGTCGGGCTGGCTCTCGCTCGTTAGCACGTGCAGCTTCTTTTTTGTTTTTTTTTTTAAAGATTTTATTTATTTATTTGACAGAGAGATCACAAGTAGTCAGAGAGGCAGGTGGATATAGAGAGGAGAAAGCAGGCTCTCTGCAGAGCAGAGCCCGATGTGGGACTCGATCCCAGGACTCTGAGATCATGACCTGAGTCAAAGGCAGAGGCTTAACCCACTGAGCCACCCAGGCACCCAGCACGTGCAGCTTCTAAAGGAGACTTGGTGTTTGTACCTGTAGAACGACTGAGGAAATGTTAAGTTCATTTTCCAAACAACCTGTCTCCAAATATAATCCAAGTTCAACACGAATGGATTGTGAATTGGCTGATCACCAACTTCTCCAGAGTAGAAGTGGGAGGTTTGGCCTTGGGCGGCTTCACCAAATCTAAGCCAGCCCTCGGGACCTGGCTATAGCTTACTTAGGCAGAGCACAGCCAGGGACCCCTTAGTTTTTTTTGTTGGTGAAATTCTAGCATGACCCACTTTCCTCCTGATAGTACAGTAGACTCTCTGAACTCCCTCGCCTTCTCCCTGTGTATAGTCACCAAAAGAAGAGTAGTAGTCTTTTGCATATAGTAATTAAGGAATCTTCCTCCAGGAAGCCAGGTGGCTTGATCATGGTGACTAGTTCGCTGGCCTCTTGCTATAGAGAGTCTGTCTTTGAGCAGTTAGCCTGGCTAGGATCACAGCCTATCCCTAGCAGGTGAGACTTCTGAGAAAAAAATCATAGAGGGATAAGAATAGGTTCGTAATTCAACTTTATATGTTGAATTAAGATAAAATAGCTCAAATCATTCCAAAAATTCTACCAACCTGATAGACTTGCATATAGTTATTATTGTTGCATTTCTTGTGTCTTGGACTTGTAATTAGTTATTACTCAATACTTTATGGCCCTTTCTTGATTTCAAAAGCTTTTCCTGTTTGCCTGTGACTGGGAGAAATAATCTCCTTTTGTAGATGTGTGTTTATATTACAGGAGATTTGAATAAATACAATTAAAGGTACTTTTTTTTTTTTTTTTTTTTTAAGTTCTTGGTCAGCAGTCAGCAAACTATGGCCCATGGGCCAAATATATGCCCTGTTGCCTTTTTTTTGAAAATCAAGTTTACTGGAACACAGCCACATCCCTTTCTTATTTGCCATCTAGGGCTGCCTTCACATCGCACCTGCAGGGTTGGCTGGTTGCCATGGAGATCACGTGACCTGCGAACCACAACTATTTACTATGGAGCCCTTTAGAGAAAGAGTTCCCCAACCCTCTCTCTTGGTGAAGCATGTCTAATAGGCTCTTGGTTGATTATTTTTAGGCCATAGACTAAGCTGTCCATGGTGTCTGAGGCCAGCGCTGAGTTACCTAGCCTGATGACTGGCTACTTGCTATGCCCAAGAAAGTTGGTCTTCCTAGTGGTCTTCAGGTATAGATGGTGTGGGTTCTGGGAGGCAGTTCTGGGAGACTGGGAGGAGGTGTGGTGATGCCCATTAATCACACCCATCCTGTCTCAGTTCATTAAGAGCAGCCCTGAGTCTCCTGGGAGGAGAAACAAGCATTGTGTACTATGGGTTTTTATTCAAGTTGCATGTCTATATACATGTGGGGTTTAAATCAGTGATGCTCTTCAAATGAAATCTTGTGTAAATGCCCAGTGTATGAAACAGAGAAGCTGAGTCACTCTGGGTGGGGAGGGCATGAAGGCCACAATGAGGGTCACCAAACCCAGGGTCTCAGGATGAAGACCCCCTCCTACGATGGAAACACCACTCTGGTTTGGGATCTGACACACCTAGGTTTGAATTCAGCTGCTGTTACTTAAGAGCTGTGCATTCTTGGGCATCTTATTTATCTCAGTCTCAGTTTCTCCTTTTTTGAAAAGGAGATCCTAATAGTTACCTTGTAGGTTGTAAGAATTAAAAAATATGTTTCAGTGCCTCTTTGTAATGAAACTCCTTGGAAGAGATGGCTCTATGTCAACATATTTATTGCTACTTATCAAATTCCCACAAATTCTCACAAATTCAGTGGCTTAAAACAACACAGATTTATTAACTTACAGTTGTGCAATTCAGCAGTACAAAAGGGATTTGGTTTCACTTGGCTGAAATCATGTGTTGGCAGGACTGATTCCTTCCAGGGCCTCTAGGGGAAAATTCATTTCCATGCTTTTTCCAGCTTCCAGAGGCCGCCTGCATTCCTTGGCTCATGGCCCCTCCTCCATCTGCAAAGCCAGCAACGCAGAGCCTCGCCTTTCTCCCACTGCCATCTCTGGTTCTCTCTTGCCGTACCCTCTTCCACTTTTAAGTACCTGTCTGGATAATCTGGAATAATTTCCCTGCCAGCAGCCTTCATTGGCCTTGTCCATGTGCCCTAAATATTCATAGGTGCCTGGGGTTAGGACGTAGACAGTAGGGACCCTGTCACCATTCCTGGTCTTCTTTCCTGCTCTTGGGCACTCCTCCCACCAGGCTTTCCTCCATTCCTCCAGAACCATTCTCCCCAAGGTTACTGGGGGCCTCCATGTTGTCAAGACCAGTATAGTGCTTACCTCTGAGTCTGCATCCAGCAGCCCCCTGTCAGCCTTGCTGGACACAGTGGGTCATTCCTGCCTTCCTCACTGGGCTTCCGGGATGCCACCCTCTCTTCTCTTGCCCACCTACTGGCTGTTCTTCATTCTCCTTTGCTCTTTTGCCCTCAGTCTTTGCGTCTCTGAAAGTTAGGGTGCCAGGGCTTATTTCCTGGACCTCTTTCCTCAATCCATACCTACTCCCATGGTTTTAAATTCCCTCTAGACTGTCATATTTTCTGTGCTATGTTCTGTCTCTAGCCTACGTATCTAAACACTAGACTTATATCCAGCTACCTACTTAATATCTTCACTAAAAAGGTAAAAGATATTGCCAATTTAATATTCTGCAAAGTAAATTCCCATTTCCCACCCTCTCCCTAGCCTCCTTTCCTGTAACTGGCTCTCCATTTTCCTGCTTGTTCAGGATAAAATCCTTGGATGTGGATCTATACAAAAGCCTCCTATTTGGTATCCCCACTGCAGACTTTTCTGACGTAGCAACCATATGATCCTTTCGAGTTCCATTAAACCCTTTGCCCAGACCTCCTTTTGAGAGCCATTGAACCCTTTGCCCTTTCTTTTAAATCTAGAATAAAAGCCGAAATCCTTAAAACAGCCCAGAATGCCCCGTCATCTGGCCCCTCTGCTGCCTTCTCACTTCATCGCCCATCATTTCCACCCTCACTACTCTCCTACCACGTTGACCAATGCTTTTCAAAGGTGCCAAGCACATTTTCAACCTCAGGACCTTTATGCTGCTCTTCCCTCTCCCTGGAATCTTTTCTGCCCAGGTAGTCCCATGCTGGCTTGCTCATTTCCTAAAGTCTCAATTGAAATGTCATTGTAGCAGAGTGAGGTTTCAGTGCCCATCCTGAATAAAAATGGCACCCATTACCCCAGGCACACCCTGACCCCCCACTCCCATATGCTTCATTCCTCTCCTTCCTGCTTCTTTCATTTTCATTGCATTTACCACCACTGGACCTTATTTATTTACTGCTTTATCTGCCTGGCTCCACTAGAATGTTTTTATGGTATCCGTTGACTCTTCTTTCTCCTCAAATGTTTGCTCTTTGTCTTGAATGAACTACCAAAGGGCAGGCCTTGTTTTGTTTACCACTCTATCCCCAGTGCCTAGCATGGTGCCTGGCAAGGGACGAGGATGGAGATTGGTTAGTCAGATGTTTGTGGTATGAATAAATGCACAAATGAAGGTCCCATTCAGAGGGGTGATGCAGAGACAGTGAGTGAGTGATAGGTATAATTGTGAGTAAAGCATTTGCTTGAAGGAGTAATTTCCCTGTCATCTTGGTGTCATTCGGGGTGCATGAACCACCAAGATAGCGCTCACGAATATGTTTAATTGTATATTGTTTCTTGCTTTAAGGAAAATCTTAACATTAAGAAAGGTTTTGTTTTGTTTTGTTTTGTTTTGTTTTGTTTAAATCTGCTATTTCTTGAGCTGCCTCTGCAGGGCCCATGCTCTTCACCAGTGAGCTGACTGCTTCCTGTGGTGGCAGATTTTTTTTTTTTTTTTTTTTTTTTAATCCAGGTGGGATTAGGGAGGGTGTAGCCTCTGGAGTGATTTAGGAAGGATACTTCTGTCCCCTGGCTTGGGCGAGACCTGGGACAGAGAAGAGGTTCACCTGCCCAAGAGAGTGACTAATCTTCCCTCACATCTAGTTTTTAGGTTCAAGAAAAGGGTTAAACATTCATTGAGCCTCTGTTGTATACCTGATGCTTTGGTGGCTTAGGCTCTGGGGAATACATAAAGGACCTTGACCCTGCCTAGAAGAGCTCACCAACTTGCTGGGGGCGGGGCGGTGGCAGGTAGAAGAGTAATTACAGTACAACCTCCTGCCGTCATGGCTCCAGGAACTCTGGAGATGTCATCTCCTTTAATCCTGAAAATAAGTCTGTGATTGTTGGGCCGGTGCCTCTGTTTTATAGGTGGAGGAGCTGAGGCTTAGGGGGGTTCAGTAATTTCCTGGGGTCACTAGCCTGTAAGTGGCAATGTCTGTTTGACTGTAAGGCTCCTACTCTTCACTCCACCACTTGAAGGGTAGACAGGGGAGGGTGCAGGCTTCCCGGGTGTCACCTGCTTGATCCCTGGATTGGGGCAGGACAGTTTCAGTGTACCTGCTCTTAGCTTGTGAGTAAAGAAAGTGGGTACTGAAACCCTCTCCAGGTTTGGGGTTCACAATGACAGGCTCACAGGCATGGTGAAGCTAGACTAGTGGGACCCCAGGAGCCCAGCACACAGACCACCTCAGGAATCACAAAGTAGGTTTCTAGAATGGAAGACTGAAACCCAGAGCCTATTTTTGTCTCTTTAAGACATGGAGGATTGAAAAGACACCCTCCTTATTAACTCCCTTCTCTCTTTATTTATTTATTTATTTATTTATTTTAATTTCCTTCAGCCAGGTGATTTCCTGTACTTTCCCAGAGGGACCATTCATCAAGCGGACACTCCTCCAGGGCTGGCCCACTCCACTCACGTGACCATCAGCACCTACCAGAACAAGTAAACACTCTCCTCCCAGCCGTCCATCCCAGGGAAGCTCAAGTTGTGGCCCATGGCAGCCACATGCAGAAGGGAATGAGGGGGTTGGCCACTGCTGTCCTGTTTTTTCCAACCTCAGAGGTTTCCTTCAGGCTCCCTTGCTAACTTCCATTTCCTTTATAGAGTCCTGCCCATGCTGCAGGTCTATCTGGGGTTCCTCCTGGGAACATCCTGAGCCTAATCGTATAGAACATTGGGAGTTGCCCCATGAGGCTCCCAGAGTTCGGGAAGAAAGAACCACAGCTGCGGTGCTGTGTTAGTGAAGCCAGGCTGGGCTTGTGGCCTCTCTAACATTTTCTTATTACAGTTAAATATTTATAACATAGAATATGCCACTTTAACCATTTTTAACTGTACAATTTGGTGACATTAATTATATTCACACTGTTGTGCAACCATCACCACTGTTTCCAAAACATTTTCATCACCCCACACAGAAACTCTGTATCCACTGAAACCTCCAGATCTCTTTTAAGGGTTCCACTTTTTATAAAGTTCATGAAATTGAGTAGGAAAGGAAGTCTGGAACAGTGAGACCTAAAAGCACATGTGCTGAACACAGTTCTAATTAAAACCGTGTTCCATTTTGGTGAGTGCTGCCTCACAGGACCTGGGCAGCGGCAGCCTCCCTGTGAGCAGTTTCCTGCCAGCAGCCACCTTCCTAGCACCTACCAGTCGTCGCCACCCTGCAGCGTGCAAGCACCAGACCCTGTGCAGTTGCTGGGAATGCGGCCTGGGACTGAAGGCGCTTGGAAAGAACTTGCGCTCTGGAAGTGGTGGTGGGAGGGGAGACGGACTGGGAAATAGTTAGCAGTGGGATAATTCCATCATGGGTGTGCAGAGGAGACTCCTGAGGAGCACAGGGAAGGCTTCAGGAATGACACCCAGGCTGAGTGAGTCTTAAAGGATGAGAAAGCAGAGGTGGGTCAGATGGTCAGGGTAGGAGAGGCATCCCAGTCCCAGTGGACAGCAGGTCCCCTCCTACCTTCAGAGCCATAACCTGCAAAACAAGTAAGCATGACTTCTTCCTCATCTGGCTTTTCTGGGTGACATGAACCCATGTGTTTAAGAGGCTGACCAAAGCAACTAGCTGGAGCCTGGCCTATAGTTAGTGTAGTCGCTGCCCACAAGTAGGCCAAAGCTTGTGTTATGCTTCCTTTATGAAAAAGGCTCTTCTCACTGTCACTAGGCATAGCCAGGAACAGAAGGTCATCGCGGCAGGCTCAAGAAGAGCAGGAAAAATTGGGGGAGTGGGGTCGTAAGAACTGGAGAAGGGCTAGCCCCAGGGAGGCTGGAACCAGAAGTTCATAGTGGGTGTCAAGCAGCTCTGGGCCTTGGCAGCCAGTTTGGCCCTGTGGGTGTCTGTGTAGCTTCTGGTGTCCTGCCGTTAATGTGACTCAGCTACTCCCCCATTCTGGGATTCTCTGTCTTTTGCATTCACTTGATGCCTCCAACTAGTTTTCTAGTCAGTGGCTTTTTGTGCACTTGTTTTCCTTCCTCATCTCCTATTTACTCATACCATTGACTCATCCATAAGCCGTCATCAGTTGCTTATCTGACCTCCCTTTATCTCCCTGAATCTAATAGCTTCTACTTCTGCTAAACTATTTTCTAATCCCAAGAGCAAAGATCTGGTGGGCTGCCCCTGGGTCCCACACGTGCCTTCTCTGGTCAGCAGGGGAGGTGGACAGGCACCGTAATTGAGGAGTCTCAGGTCAGACGCTGACCTGTGCCTTTATCAGTGGTGCTGGAGCTAGAATGGGACAAACTGGAACTCAAGAACCATTGCTCCCCAGAGATGTCCCTGTGCCGTGGGCCTGGTACCCCTGACAGCACTGGCACGGTGAGGATTGGGGCCTTTCCCTAAACCCTCTCAAGGGTCAGTTCCTGGGAGTGTCTGGGATCTGGGACAGCAGCAGGTTAATTTGACGGTTTTGCCAAAGTGAACCCCTCAAGAGATATTAATCTCAAATTTTGGCCCAAGATCCATTCTGACTCTAACAAGAGCACAGAGCTCAGTTTAACTGCAATGACCTCTCTTCATGAGCAACTGCCACACAATTTCACCTATGACCCTGCAAAAGAAGAGCTTCTTTTTGTGCTGGTAAAAGATCTCCAGGAGGCGGCTCATTCAGTCAGATGTGAGGCTGGGTGTAACATTAAGTTGCAAAGTGTGAGGGCACCAAATGGTAGACATCTTAGGGAAAGTGTCACTGATGTGACTTTTGTCTTCTGACACTTTTTTGGAAGGAAGCATAAAAGTGTTAATTTTGCTTACTGAGTGAGAAGCAAAAGTCATACTGTGAATTCCCATTTTTGCACATAGCCAGCAATTTGAAATCTGGTGATACTGAGGGAAGATTTTAAATAGCTAGAAATATTTAAAGAGAGCAACCCCACAGAGTGTTTCTACAGTGGCACACATTTAGGAGTGCTCCAACTGTAAATGGCCCAGACAAATTCAGGTAATTGAACACTGATGCTCATCCCTAGATGTTATTTTTGGCCACTGGATTCTACCCTTCTAGCCCTGCTAGGGTTAACAAGTTGCATATTGACTGTTTTGAAATTAATTGATGTTGGATATTTCACTGAGGAAGAGTGCCCCTCTTTTATAAGGGAAAAAGGAAAATGTAATGTCTAACAGTTCAGATAATGTATAACAGTCCAGGGATTTTGCTGTTACCCTAAACGTATTTCTTTTGGAATTTTTTTAATATAAACTATTTTTTAGGTCCTGTGATTGTTAAAAATTTCCTACAGAGCTCCTCTCATAGACATTTTTGTGTTACAACTGAAAACATTAAAAATAAATTGGGCCCTTGAACTTCCTACTTACACCTGTATAGGATTGTGTGGTATCTTTTAAGAGAAGTCGTGAATTAAAGCCTAGCTTCCCACCTTCTAACTTTCCTCCTGAGTGTCTGGGAAAGGGGAGGGGGAGAAGCAGTGTGATTGATGAAGGCCTTCAAGTTTTTTTGTGCTGAGTAATGTCCAATTAATGGAACTCACTGTGCCTGGGGAGTCAGAATATAGTTTGTAGCTTTGGGATTTACTAGTAATCAGTGTTTTATGTAGATTCCGTGGGTGTTCACAGTTTTCTTTCTGGGTTCATGTTGCAGTTCGTGGGGAGATTTCCTTTTGGACACCATTTCAGGGCTTGTATTCGACACTGCCAAGGAAGATCTGGAGTTCCGGGCTGGCATACCCCGGCAGCTGCTCCTGGTAAGGAGTAAAGACTTGGGTCGGGGGGTGGGCAGTGGCAGCCCGGGCCAGCAGAAGCTGTGGCCTGCCTCCTCTGGACTCCAGGATCCTTCTTCCCACTGGAGTCAAACTCATCTCCTCCTGCGCTGCCTGCATCGATGCGTGGTTTGCAGAGACCGCGGCGCTGCACGTTATGTGGGAGCTGAAGGGCTGAGACTGTTGTGTAGACTGCGTGGGAGCACTAGAGGGCAGGGTGGGAACGCTGGCTGAGGGAGATGCTGAACCTGAGTCCCGTGACAGGGAGAGCAGTAGCTTCAGTCCACAGGCGTGAGACCTGCGTAGGAGCCCCACTGGCCATGCCGGCTGGTGACGCTCCACGGGCTGCCCTGGAGACCAGGACATGCGCGGGAAGCCCTGCTGGAGTTCGGGCCAGGACTCACTTCTCCTTCCAGCAGGTGGACGCCATGGCTGTTGCGAGGAGAAGGTTAAGTGGCTTTCTGAGGACCCTTGCCGACCGGCTGGAGGGCACCAAAGAGCTGCTTTCAGCTGACATGAAGAAGGATTTTGTTATGAACAGACTCCCCCCTTACCATATGGGAGACCCAGCGGAGCTTTCAACACCAGGTGCGGTATTTCAAGGCTTTCCTGGATGGGCTCCTCTTTGGACAGGTGGAAAGTGAGCAGCATTTTAGAATTAAGGTGGACCTAGATCTATCTTTAGCATGTTATGTTTGGATGAGATGTGCTGTTGCTTTAGGGATCGTGCATCTCACAAGTCTTTTTGTAAAGAACCTGCGTCCCAGCATGATGGGGAGAAAGAGTCCTGTGATTGTGGGTGAGAAATGTGTGTATTTATGGGCACTCTGGTATTCACCATCTTCAGGAAGCTTTAAGAACTTGAACACTAAAATAATTCCAGCAAGATTATCTCAAGGATGGGTGAAATGTAAGAATGCCCAAGGTTGTCACTAACATTCCCAGAGTTCCAAGTGACTATTTTGTGACCAGTTTAGGCTGCAAATGACCTAACCCTTTGGATAGGTGGTGATAGCAGGCCATCAGTACAACACTCCTGCAGTGGGACAGATGAATTTAGGACTTGTTACAACAGGGAAGACCACACACTGCTGGGAATTGTGGGGCATCTCAGTATAAGATTTTTGGAGGGATTTATATTTATAGCTTGAGTTAGGTGATTTTTCAGGAGGGTTGAGAAAGCAGGGCTTTGTTCTGGGATGGATGCCGTCAGAAAATAAGGAATCTGGTCTTGTGTAGGCAGGAGGGATGAAATGAGGCTGAGGTGGCAGTAAGGGAGATCAGCGGGACAGGGGCATTGGGTCATTTTTGAGGTTTGGACAGTATTCTTGCTTTCACTTGAGCTCGGACATGATGTTGGACTGGTCTTGCTTCTGCTTCGCCCTTTCAGAGTAGCCTTGTTGAATGTTGGTGTTCTGTGGAATGGTCTGTGTTCAGCAGGAGGACACGGAGACAGGGCTTTGAGTGCCAGGCCAGCTCTCCTGCTGCTTTTCTCCTTCTCTGTAGAGTTGAGACAATTATTTTTACTAAGGTTCATAAAAGCTTCCTTTCTCATGGTTGAGACCCACTAAAATAAGACAATCTGTAAGGTCACCTTTAACATTGATTCCACTTTATAATTTTATAATAATTGATTCCACTTTATAATTTCGTCTTTTGGGGAAGTTTAGAATTTGTTTTTGCACCTGTTCAAAATAGATTTTTACCAACGTATGTATTTTAATCTTTAGTAAAACAGTTTTCTGAGCATCAGCTTATAGCACAGAATATCTTACCAGAACTCTTCCTTGTCTTAGCCGTTAGAGTTTGTAACGCTATGTTCCCTCAAGACTCCTTCTTCAACCAGATGACCCCGTAAGTCTGGTCTCTTTTTAGTGGGTAACTTTTGTATGAAGTTAAATCCAACTTGGAAAGGACTTTTTTTTCTGTGAGCTTAATTAGGTGGCTTTCATAACACAATGCTTGACCTCCATGGATGGGGTAAGTTTCTAGGATTACACAACTAGTCCTTGGTGAGGTGGTGTGGTATGGACTCAGTTGTTGTACTGCTGGGTTTGACACACAGAGCAAGCGGCAGACGGAGGCTGGAACTTGGGGAAGCCAGTGTTGGGTGCAGAAGGTACAGCTACTCTGCTTCTGTGGCCTGGTTTAGATCTGTAAGAATGAGCTCCATAAGGTTGTAAACTGTACTTCAGTATCATAAATATGGGGTAAGCCAATACTAGAGTTGGAGGGCACCCCACATTTGGATTCACTGCACACAAATTTGAGCCTGGGTTTTCTAGTGAAGGCTGGCTTTCCTCCTCTGGGTCTTCTAGGTGGACAGTTACCAAGGTTGGACAGCACAGTGAGATTGCAGTTCAAAGACCACACCATCCTCACAGTAGGGCCGGATCAGGATCAATCTGTGAGTATCCAGAGGGGAGGAGGTCTCCTCTCCTCCCAGGACATTTCCATCACGGACCTCAAGTTATCAAACTAACAGACGGCCCCTAACTTTTCAGACCCGCTGGGCAGCTGTCTGTCCTCCTAACGTAGTGCCCTGACTTTACATCAGAGGGTACCCAGATCTCACTATGCCAAGGATGCCTGCCTATTGGGCATTGGTGGTGGGCCCGCATGCCCACAGATCCCTCCTTCATTTCCCTCATGCAGTGATGGATGCCTGGTCTCTGCCTTCTGGTTCAGGCCATACTGCACTTGCTCAGACAACTGCAGACCCTTCCTTGTTCACACACCTCCCTCACGCACTCTCCCATCCTGTACCTTGCCCAGTCTGTCATTATGTACGATTTTGTTGATGTTCTATCTTCTAGACATGGAGAAGAAAATTTATATCCATAACCTTGCCACCTAGCCCCATGGTTCCTAAAACTGGCATACTGATCCTAGACTCAACTGGAAAACTTTTAGAAATGATAAATTCCTGGGCTTCACTTGATCTGGGTTACAGCTTCCGTATTTATTACTAAAGCTCCCTGCACAATCCTAAGGACCTCGAGCTATGGCTTCACCTTCTTCTTCTTGGCCAGCCATCTTGGGAGGTACTCCATGAGTGACTGGAGGGGCTGAGAGGGGAGCTAGATGTGTGCATAACCAGACTGTCACAGCCGTCAGGGTCACACCTGGACAGGACTGGTTTATAGTATATATAGAAAACCTCAAAACTTTCTTGTATTCTTAAAAAAAAAAAAAAAAAAAAAGGTCCTAGTAACCCTTATCTGAGGTGACAAGGACTGAGGTTCTGGTCACTGTGTAAGATGGATGGACAGGAGTCTACAGTAATTGGAAGTTTTTATAGATCCCACAGCCGGTATTTCTCAAGAGGTAGCATTCACTCTGTGGTGTTCATAAATTGCCAGCTTATAACTGGGAATATCATATATGGATATAAAAAAAGTGCTGGCTGGATTAAATGAAACTTGAATGTTTCATTGATAAGCTGATATGTAAGTAGTTGCTTTTTCATTAAGCCACATTTCTGATGATGCTCTATGAGCTACACTGTTTCATCTTAAAAAAAGACCAGTGCCTATTTGCTATACACAAATAGAAATCTGAGGGATATAGTTTGTGTATATATATATTCTAACTTTGTGCCAAAAAGATTCTTGGTGTTGAATTTTGTTTTGGAGAACCCTCCTTGGTTTGACCTCCTCAATACTGTGTTGTTGACAACTCTTACCTTTTATTTAAGGATGAAACTCAGAAAAAGATGGTTTACATCTATCATTCCTTGAAGAATAGGAGAGAGACACACATGATGGGAAATGAGGAAACAGAGGTCTGTTCCAACCTAAAATGTCTTTCCTGTGATTTGGTGATGGCTGGGAAGAATGTGTTACCTTTAATTTATGGGGGATGTGCTTTCTTGTGACTGCAGCATGGGCTTAATGTTTCACACAATTAACAGAGCCCTTGCACAGGGATGATTAAGTCAGACAGTTCTGTGATATACATACACATATACCAGCTTTAAAAGATACGAGCTGGGACCCGGTAGCCTGGTAGGAAATGTGTAATATAAATATGAAGCACTTCAAATGACTAATTTCTTAGGATATAAACTCAGAGACCTTTTGTGAAATCTGAGTTTTTATGTGGGAATTGGCAAATTCTATACATTATCTAGTTGTAAGGGTACCAAAAATACTGAGAACTGTACAAGTTTTTATGAAAATACCACTTTAATATTTTTCATCTGACTAGTTTATCATTTTTCAGTCCCATGGACTTCGCTTCCCTTTATCACATATGGATGCACTGAAGCAAATTTGGGACCACTCAGCTATTTCTGTCAAGGACCTGAAACTTACCACCGATGAGGAAAAGGAAAACCTGGTGTTATCCCTCTGGACAGAATGCTTAATCCAGGTAGTCTAGTGCCTTCCCAGAATCCAGGGTGTACTGTCTCACAGATACACACATACGCAAAGAAGAGCAATGATTGATGTGGTGCTTTGAGTCAGTCAACTGGGACTGACCTGGTCTTACAACAATTTTCCTCACCTGTGTTACTAATAACATGAGCCGTACCTGTTTCAGGGAGTTAGGCACACAGAAGAAAGGTGTCTCAGTAACAAAACCGTACTTTTGGCAAACTCATTTATTCCAGTGTGGTAGAAAAGGCACAACTCCAATAAATGTATCATTGAAAGTTAAAGGTCGTTACCTGGCTTTGTCGTTGTTCTTTGGAAGAAACAACTTCTTTAAAGAGTCTCGGCCCTACAAAAATCTTTTAAACAATTAACACAAAGAAAAATTTTAAATTTTTTTTTTACAATGAAAATATACATACCTTTGTGTATACACAACCCCCTCCCCCCCATTAAAATAAAGTTACCCTGATAACATAAGTTTCATTAAATACTGTCACACTAATGAAAGGACTCACATCTATGGGCATATGTGAATTTTATAGATGCTGCTTCAGAGATGACAAAGAGCCTGAGATTGAAGGAAAAACATTCAGTATTTACATGGAAAGACCAAGTCTCTATAAAAAATGCTCAAAAAAGTGGGTCTTTGCATTTAAACAATTCACTGTTATTTTACATTCTAAAGTGCTCATAGGCTGATATTTAAAAATATCACTGGAGTATTTAATCTTTCTATATAAAAATAGAGCAGTTTTCTGCTTTTTGGTAAAAGTTTGGGACAAAGGGAACAATTGTCTCAACTTAAGTATTTTTTCCCTCCTGAGTTGGTTTTAAACGTAAGAACTGTATAATTTTTAAAGGTGGTAATGATTACTTGATATCCTACCTGATTTTGCTTAAAAATGGAAATGAAAAACTGAATTTTCAGCCATTAAGTAAAATGGTATAGTCAAGGCTCAAATACTGCTTGGTTTTAATTTAAACATTTTGGAATTTCCCTTTACTACTTCAGGCAGACAAAGAACAATGTGACTAAACAACTCCTTGAGGGCAGGAGGAGGCAAAATGTAGGGTGAGGTCTCAGCACCAGGACAGGTGACCACTGGTTAGTCTTGTCACCCGAAGGGCGTCTATTACTAAAGAGAGCAAGGATGGTCACAAGTTATTTGTGCTTTTTTAGTTTGGCCATAGAAAATATACCAGTATTCGAACCTTTTTCCTGAACAAAGCTGAGGTCCTTCCCTGGGGTCAGTTACAAGTACGAATACTTAACGGTGCTTCAGTTATAAAAGCCTCAGGAGAGAAGAACCTTTAAGGCTTATCTAATACAGCAGCTTAATAGGAAGCTTTATTAATAAATATGTTTTTAGGCATTGCTAAAAAAAAAATTCATCTTCTTGCAAAAGGATGACTTGACCTAAAGGAATTTGTTTCCCTGGGCTTATTAGCACTCACATACCGTCTCCTAGGATATTCATAGCTAATACAGGCTCACAGTCACCAGTGTCCTACAGTGACAGGAGTAGGACTTGTGTCTGGTGGATAGGTGAGAAAACACACACTTGAGGGAACTTGCTCACCACACACTGGAGACCAAGCAGGACTAGAAACTTTCGCAGAAATCAGAACATGCTTTTCACAGGACACTACACAACTGGTAAGAATACTTGAGTGTTTCCATGGTTAAGAGCAATGGTCTTAGAAGCTGGAAGAAAACATCATTCTGCTTAGTAATGTAGGACCGTGAGGATAAGTAACTTCCTTTCTGAGGGATGTGAGGTTCCTTCTTTGCTCTTTCTAGAGATGGTACAGATTCTCTCATAATATTTCAATGTCCCATTTCTGTGTTTCTTCTCCCTCCAGGGGTTGATTTACAATTACATGAGTCTTGTCATAATAATTTCCTCCTAAAATGGGAATTCCAAAAGAAAAGATTATTTGTTCACACAGATGCTCAACAGTATTCAGCCCACTGTGTGGTGGATTAAGACTTCATTTCCAAAGCAGCCTGAAGTGGGAAGCTGAGTTTAAATAAGCTTAGCTATGATTAACCTCAAATCAGACCATAGTATGATTCAAATTGAAAAACTAAGAGGTAAAACAGTTAACTGCAAAAGCCGTGTGCCCAACAATGCAATGCTGGAGAGCAAAGTGCATGGAGAGAGCAGAGCTCGGCCTGAATGTCAGGCACTGTTTGTTTCCACAAGGACAGTGGCTGTGACTAAGCCAATTAAAGCAACAGCCCAGACCTTGCTCAATTCCAAACCAAGTTTAAATGATACCTACCATCAATTTTAAGTGAGGGCTTTTAAGGACTACAGCAATTCATGGCAAAAAGAGATTTCTAAAAAATGAGACATTTTATGGCTGATGAAGCTTTAATTTTAGAATTGTTCTCAAAGATCATGTACCAAATGAGAATTTTACAACTGTCCTAATGAACAAAACCTCAGATTTTGTCCTTAGGCTTTTCCTGCTTGATCCAAGTCACTGATTGTTTTGTTTGTTAAAATAGCGTATCTTTTTTCAAGAGTAAGTAGAAATGAATTAGTATTTCTTTTGTGCATCAGGATTTCTTTTAGCCAGGAGGAGGAGTTTTGGAATTTAAAATTCTACCCAGAGGCACAAAATTTTGGGTTTCTTCAAAGGCCCACCTTTAACATCCAGGACAAGTTGATCGCTGAGATAGGAGCTGATGGTGCCGTTTCTGTTCAGCCTCCACTTTTGCCGGAACTGTCCGTGTTCGGTCCACAGAGCCACTTTAGCCCCAGGGGTGTCCCGGCCTCCAATCACATCGAGGCATGTGTCACTGGCCTAAAGGTTAGGAAGCAGATTGGTGATACTGTTTTAGCTCCAGTCAAGTGTGCCCAACAATGGGTCCCTTTACACGCTCTGATCTAAAAGAGAATACTATCCAGCATAGTTAGAATTTCACCAACTGCTTAAGTTGTCTTTAGGGCTACAGGAAGGAGATGGTACAGACATAGACCCACGGAAGTAGAGGTGCATCTGGCAACAGATGGTAAATGAAGGTTTGCTGAATTACAATTAAATATTAAGTCTCTGTTAGCATAAATGTATCAGGTGGACCTTGGTTTCTCTTTTTTTTTTTTTTTTTTTAAGCAGGCTCCACACCCAATGGGACTTAAACTCACGACCCTGAGTTCAAGACCTGAGCTGAAATCAAGAATCAGATGCTTAACTGACTGAGCCACGCAGGCATCCCTGAGTGTGGTTTTCTTATAAAAGCATTGGATGATGTGCCAGATAGCCATATAATACTTTGAAGTGCTTTTCATTTGTGTTGATGAGACAAAAGGAGAAAGTCCATTGGTGACATAATAAAACTGGTGTTCTCTTCCCCAGAACATCAGATGTAATGGAGGTGTCATAAAGAAATGTAAACTTTATTTTCTAAGCTTTTTAGTAACTTCTATACTACTACTTCACTAGGGAGTGTGAAACTGAAAGTTTCAAGATGTTTAGAATTACAAACAGCTGACTTTATCTGGACCACAGAGAAAGGAATGTGTCACAAGAAAGAGCACAGTGGCCAGTTGGATCCAGTTAGTTGTCACTGGTTTTAAAGCGTCATTTAGGCAGAGCCATAGTATGTGATAACCTTAGTTTTTACTTTGAAACAGAAACTGAATTTTCTAGATGAATTTTCTAACATTCTCAGTAAAAGCTTTAGTAATATGGCAGGTTTTTTTTTTTTTTTAATTTATTTATTTATTTGACAGAGAGAGATGCAGCCAGAGAGGGAACACAAGCAGGGGGAGTGGGAGAGGGAGAAGCAGGCTTCCCGCCAAGCAGGGAGCCTGACGTGAGCCTTGATCTCTGGTCCCTGGAATCATGAACTGAGCTGAAGGCAGACGCTTAAAGACTGAGCCACCCAGGTGCCCTTACGTGGCAGTACTGATACAATCATGCAACGGAGTGTTTCTAGGAAGTCGCATTATTTTATAATGCCATTTGATTAGGCAAGATTCTGGCTTCAAAAAAAAAAAAATCGAAGGCCAAAAGGTGGGGTGCAGAGTCCGCGGGGTGCCTGCTTACCTTGGATTTAAAGAGTCCTCGGCAGTAGTGCCAGATCTGAGTTGTCTTCCCGCTGTAGGGAGAAACGCACACGGAGGTGGCCCTTGTGTCAGCAACATTGCCAGTGACTGTCAGATACTCATCCTGGGCCCGGTTCTTTATCCTGATGTACACTGCAGGCTAGGACGGGGGAGAAACAGCCATTTAGAAGGACTTGTGAACCTGGAAATCAGGTTTCATAGAAGGCAAGCTTAGAGGCAAGGAGTAAGGGGATCTAGCTTACACACTTTCACTCCTCCCTTTAGCCAGTATGTGTGAACTGTTGTTTTTCTATCGATAGGCCTTAGACTACTGAACACGTAGGTTAAGTTGTACGATAATCTCTATTCTACTTTTCTGAAAAATGCCCTTCTGGAAGGGGAAAAGGTAATAGTTTCATCTACTGAATGCCACATGGCAAGGGGTGGTGCAGCGTTTCGGACTTGCTGAGTTTCATTCAGGAACCACTGTGTCCTAGCTGTGCTGGGGGAGGGAGAGGACCCCGAGCAGGAAGGCAAGGTACAGCCCACCTGCAAGGCTCTCACAACAACCTAGCCAATGCTGCAGTAATCACACATACCATTTGAGCTATGGTTAAGTGCCAAATGCCTGCTCTGGGAGGTCTTGAAAAACCCAGGTGAAGCTGAGGGCCTGAGCAGCTATGGTAATGTCTCTTTGCCTTTATACTTTGTGGACCTTTACACTAATTCAAGGGAAGAGCCTGTGCATGTTTAATCACTATGTAGGTATTAAAAAATTGGGTAACAAAGAACTTTATCCCCTGGGCCTGGAATATATACCCAAAGTTTTCCAATAAAATATTGAATCTAGGACTTGCCTCTAAGGATAATAGTTAATATTTATTGAGAGCTTAGTGTATGTCAAGCAGTGTGCTAAATGCTTTCTGGGCCACTGTATTATCTAAGTTAATAACCAGAAGAACCCTTTAAGAAGTCCAATTATCATTCCCGGGTTTCAGCACCCCAAAACACACACACACACACACACACACTCCAATTACGATCCGAATTTTACAAAGTAACCACAGATGTGGAGAAGCTGGGTCAGCCTGCACCAAAACCATCCCTCTTAAGCAGGATGCTCTAAATATAAAGTTTGCTGAAATATACTAGTTACCCTCAGACACAGGGAATAAGAGACCAGGTCCAAAGGTGGCAGTGTGAATTAAGTCAGATAATGAAAGGATATCACACAGGTTGGAAAATCCCA